ATAAAGGTAAGGATTGGAACGACTTAAAAGATATTATCCAAAATGACTTTTGCAAAATTATTCAGTGGTTTAATAACCGAAAATTAACAATTAACTTGACTAAAACTCATTTTTTACCATTTTCATCACTATCTAATCATCTACCAAAATATAACCACCTTCGGTTAAGGTAAATGATAAAAATCAATAGAGTTAATGATACAAAATATTTAGGAATTTATCTAGATCCCCACTTGAGATGGATGTACATATTTCTCACATACTAAAGAAAATTAGATTCATAGCATATAAAATAAAATTTCTAACCGGTATATTAACTGAATATTATCTACGAATAATATATCAAGCTTTAGTCGAGCCACACATAACATATGGTATAGTAGTGTGGGGTGCTGCATGCACGACATAATTTAACGATTTAGATGTACTTCAAAGAAGAATTTTAAAATCAATGTTAGGCAAATCAAAATTATACCCAACTAATGACTTATATAATGATGCACAAGTATATGATACTAGACAACTTTACTTTTTACGTACCATCACTCATTATCACAAAACTATTAGTGAACACGACATAATTAAACATAATCATAAAACCAGATATAAATTACGCGCAAAAAATGTTCCTAAACCAAACAAATCCCTAATGAAACGATGTCACCTGTATATAGCTCCAAAATTGTACGAACATTTACTAAATAATTTAAAATAATTACGCAATACATTAGGCTTCAAAAAAAAATTAAAAAAATTTATTAACACGATTGGGAGAAATCAAATTAATAAAATAATCTCAAATATTACACAATAAATGCTCTACCATTCCTACCAATAATTTCTTTTTTCTCTCTATTTTATTATATTTTGCAATTCAACATGCATATGATCCATGCACAGGCGTTGTCCTCCTATGGATATATTATATTTATTTACTCGTTTCATGTTCCCTGTATTTTAGAGTAAATAAATATTATTATTATTATTATTATTATTTATAAATTAATTATAATATATAATAAATATCATTCTTTATATTAGGGCGTCGTTGACAAGCGTTGTATTATTTGCACTTCTTGTATTCTCTGCTTCATATCATAGCCCCATTTAAAAAAAAGCTCATGACAGTGAGGATCCAGTAGTGGTAAAGTATATAGGGCGTTTCGCGTTTTTTTGAAAAAAGTATATTTTGCATTATTTAGCAACCTGTATTGATCATTAGAAAAATGGATTAATTATTAGGTTTAAACTGAGTAAAATAAATAATAAACCAAACCCATAAGTATATTATATCAAACTTGTTCTCTAAATGTGTAATCAAAAATAGGGATTCTATTTAAAAAAGCCAAGTTTGATATGTGGGACAAAATAAGAACACCTTGTATATTTGTGAATATTTCCGAAATATGCGTTCAGGTACCGTGCAACGGGAAACGAAAATGGGAATCTTGCATTGAGAAGCTTTGAAAGTTGGATGGGGTGCAATTGAGACCATTTTCAAAAGTTCTGGTGCATTTGCAATCTCGACTAAATCTTGTTTCTTGCGTAAACAGGATAACATGATGTCAGTATTTCGCTGAGATCGACTGGGGGATCCAAAGCTCACGTCTTCCTACTCCAAATAGAAGCATTGCATCACTTTTCTTTAACCATATTAAATATCGGCGTCCAAAATTTCGAGGTGAAAGTAAGAAGTTTGCATCGAAACTTTAAGGGTTTAAAATGCTATCAGTGACAGAAATTATCCGTAATTTTGTGCGTCAAGACAAGTCTGAGTCCAGTTAAATTAAATTATTATTAATTAAAAATATTAAATTGTTTGCAGACAATTCAGTTTCATTGGCTTGAGGAGTCTGAATGTGAAAGCTTGAGTAAATATATGTCAGTGCTACTTAGTTTCACGTTTTCTTGAAACCAAGTATGCCTCCAAAGAGCTTTCATATTTGCGTACTTAAAGTGAGCGTTGCCGAGCTTCCAGACTTATCCTTATGCAAAGCTATTAAGCCTCGTTCTGCCCCACATACGATGAATTATATTGGTTCCCCCCTATTAGCGCTTTCAATTTTTACTTCGTTTTCTTGCGCACATGAATATGATTTAGCCACTAAATCACCGAGACCGCCCTTTACAACAGTTGCAAATACTCGTTGAATATAAATTTTTGATAAACTGCCTGCTGTCTTGTACAAAGTTGAGGAAGAGATCAAGATATCGAGAAACAGGAAGACAAGAGTTGGAAGTGAGATAGATTGATTTTTACTATAGGTATTGGTCGTACATAATACAGGTTTTATCTTTAGGATACATCAGTATTGTGGAGAGTGTTTCACAAAGGGAGGAGATAATATAAATAACCAATAGTTGACGGGTCTTTATTACGAGCTTTTATGGGACAAATATGAGTATTGTAACTGAATTTTGAACCAGTTATCCATAACCAATCGAGCTGAAATTTCGTATACATGTATAGTTTGCGTGACAATACAAAACGAATGAACTGTCGCCATTTTGAATCCACTATGACAGTCGCAAATTGATGATTTACATTTTTTATACTTACCCCTACAACGTGAATACCAAATGGAAGGGTTTGATGAGCGAAATATAATCAGCATCTATATCAAATATTGTATTTTTCATGGTCACCCTTACAATATGGGTATCAAATAATAGGGCTTGAATAAGCAAGGTGACGTCATCCCCAATCCAATATAGCGAAACTATCATCCAATTAAAGTGCTCCGTGGAAAAAATGTAACAAGCAAGTGACGTCATCCCAAATGCAATATGGCAGCCGCACCACTATGATATGTGTATATGTGTATATGGTGAGGATGGGTACCAAGTTCCAAATAAAATAAAATTCAGAGGATGTCTTATAGATATTGGCCAACCCTTTATGGTTTCCAGTTTTACAATTAGCCTTTATATCTTTCAAACTAGGTATGCATACGCAGCCTATCATATCGAATTAATTGTGTTACTAACACGAAAAGAAACAGGTCTAGACAGATTAAGATTACAAATTTATTATACCCAAAAACAGCCAGTCGCCCCCTGCTTTATTAAGTCACACACTATTTAGATGGCTACCACCGAGGCAATGTTGTCATTTACACTGCCTGTGAGGTTTCGGCTGTGTAATCAACTCTCAAACATATGCACTCAGGAATTTAAATACAGTTCTTTCGGAGAGTCAGTCAGATGCTATTTACTATGCCCAAACAGACTCAAGATTTAAATACGCCCAGCAAGTATTTTTGAGTCAAAAGAGAGCAATCAGATGATTGGCTAGAGTTTACAGCTGAGTTCTTGTAAAGATACTTTTAGCAGACTTAGGGCGGATTTCACAATTTAACAAACCATTAGATCTCTTCGTCAAATTTTTGGCAGCAAAAAGCATCAAGGTATTCAAAACAAAACACTGTAAAATATGAAGTGACAGCTTGTCATTGAAATGTTTTCAGTTTATTAAATATCAAGTTATATAAAACTGAGCCGAAATTTTAAAAAAATGTTTGATGTCTGAGTAAAATCCATTTTTTTAGTTTAGCTGAAGGTTTCTCGATGTTTAGTGCAACTAGGCAGCAGCGGTGGACGCAGTAGTAGACTCTTCGGTCTCCTGATCAGTCGCCGTGCGCTGTGCGGGTTCGAGTCCCGTCCCAGGAGAAATTTTTCTCTTGGCTATGGATGTTGTGATTGTCCGTAGGTGGTAGACGGTCTCTGACTGTCGAACGATGACGTACCACCCGGCGGATCTCGTAGGCGGAGCTAGAATGTGTGCATGTTGCATGTACACGTGTTCCCTCGCCAGAGTCCGTGTGGCGTTTCCCCTTTTCCATGTATCCCCCTATAGCCCCACGGTACCCAATAGGTGCTTAGGCCTTAGGCCTTCGTGGTAGTTAGAGTATAAAAAAAAACTTTCATAATCCAGTCCGTATGTGATTATATTATATCTGCTATTTTGATAGAATGTTATAAAAAAAGAAGTTTTAAATAAAATATTGAGGAATATGTATATATAAAATTTGAGTTGTAGCAATGTTAATGTCTCTGAACATTTTTTAAATTCCCAGTTTTATAGGATAAGATACAACAATTACGTTTTCTTATCTGACAGTATCACGAAGCCAGTCGATATTTACGTTGATGGTAGCGGACGCACGGAGTGGGAGCTGGCAAGGGGCGTGGCTGTACTACCCGGCTGTACCGTATCGCCGCAGCGAGATACAGCACTCACACGTATCAGTCCTCGACAACCGATGCCGCAGCGGAATGTCTACGCGTTCACAGCTACGTGCAGAGCTATAGTCCCTTTAGCTACTTTTTTTAGTAGTGGTGTTCACTATAGGGTTCTCGATTGCGTCCCAGTCGTGCTTTAGTGCTGTGACGTGGGTGCCAAGTGTCTCCAAAGTGGAAATTAGGTCTACTTCTAACTCTTCTGAGGGACACAGGATATAAATGTTCCCGGCCTGATTGTTGAGTTCTGGGTAGGTAAAGCTAGAATGTTTTTTCCCTCAGAGCGCTGCTTTGAGGTTTCTTTTTCAGCATTCAAGCTTTCTTTACAGAACATCCCCCATTTATATGTATTGATTTCATTTTGCTTTCATGTTTACCCATCCTGTAATTGGCTTTGTCTGTTTTATGCTACTAAGTAAATGAATAAAGAAATAAGTAGGCTACACATTTTGTGCCGCGTCCTAACAAGGAATACATTGTAGAAAAAGTCCGCGTATATTTACTATTGATATCTTAAACAACAAATTTTTATTGGCGCTTTTTTCTGTCTATAGCATAACCATTTGGTGAAAGATCAATAAGTTTAGCTATGACTCATAAGGGTTTTTCAACCCCGCAGTCCGTATCAAGGTGCAGTTCACGAAAAGCATCCATCACGCCCCTTGTACTCACTAAGGAGTGCAGTGTTTACTGAAGTCGATGAGGCGGGCAAAATACACGTCTGACTAATTAAGGGTTGGCAGTGGCTGAATAATTATTCCATGACTAGAAGGCAGTCGTGGGTGTACATCCCGGCAATTACCTGCACGGGAGATTGCGGAGGTACAAAGAAGACAGGAGCACGAGTACACACACATAATGCTTACGTTCCAGCCGTGTCGAATGGAGAACTGATAATTTATAGGATATTGCACATAATGTGATGCACTCGACTGAGAACATCTACAAGGGGGTATTAACTAGGAAATAATTAGGTGAAAGCTTGATCTTGTCATCTTTGCAATATTCCTTTTAATTTTTTTCTATTCTTGTTTGGATCCATCGGATCGGTATAAGTTACAGGCAATTCAAACGAAATCTGTAGGTTTGTGCTTGTCGATGAGGTAGTTCGCACTAAAAAGCCGTGTATTTTAGAAAAGCTGGTACCAAGCGGTAACATAAATTCTGCGATTTCAGTACAATTTTCCAATAAAGCTTTTGCCTTTCACGTTGCTAGGTTATATGATTATTTTAATCCAATTTATCGCAGTAAAACTATAGGTACCTTCCAGGAGACTTGTTAAGAAATACCTGATGGAGCAGTTCAAAGGTTCTGTGTATCTACGACATCACTTTCTTCTCCTGTTTCATATTACTTTGCTTTGTTACCTTGTACGCCATATGCGAGTATTGTAAACAATTTATCTTTCCAGTTTGTCTGCTTTCTTAATATTGTTCCTTGTTATTATTCTTTTGTTTGTGTATCGAGTTTATCTTTGTTAGTTTCTCTCACACAACGTGGTTAAGTGTAATAGTAGCCCTTTGGCTAAACTTCGCCTCAGTGATGTGTATTAATAAAGAAAATTATTATTATCATTATATTGGTATGCTTAATCTACTTCGTGAAAGGACCTCGCAAAAAACATGTAAAATGGGTACCATTCGATATGTCCAAAAAATCAGTATATTTCTTGCCTACAATAATTCTCATTAATTGATACATGAACGACAGGTGAGTCCTCGTTATTTTCATAAGATTGTAATATAGCTTTCGTCCAGTCTGTAGACGACCAGACGAAAGCTAGAATACTAGTTTGTTCAATGTTTTAAATCGAGAGGGAGCTTCTAAGATTATGCAAGGATCAATGTTTGAATAGTAGCAGATAACACTAGAGTACAGTTTCTCCTAGATTCAGCCACACATCTATGGGCAATGCTCATCCCGTCATCTAGAGAGGCTCATACCATTGCTCTTGATATTACGAAGGCTTTTCACCAGCACTGAAATGTGGCTCTGCTATGAAAGTGTGTGTTCTACGGCCTTCTAAAGGGATTCTTTGCAGATGGATTGTTGACTGCTCTAGTGTCGTGACTGACGAGTTATCTGCATGATGTTACAAATCAACGAGAATGTTCTCCAGCATCGATTCGCCTCTAATATTCTCTCTGTAATGCATCAGCGATATCTTTTTCTGCACAACAAATCCAATCTACAACATCGTAGATGACTGCATTTTGCATGTAGCCGATCACAGTCAGACAGATTTCTACATCGAGATGCAGAGAAGAAGATTGGTGATGACTTCTTCTCTGGCAACGGTACTTTAGGTAAATTAATCAATAAGCAGGGCACATGCAAATGTTCGGCGTTGATTCTATTTGGCTTCTCGAAGGTCAGATCACCAAGGATATGAATTGGCGTGAACATGTCGCATCATCTGAAGAGAACTGAGGTATATGTTTATTTTTTTCTATAAAACATTCTCACTATACATGCAGTCGGTAAAATATCTAGGAATTACATTGGATTGTGTGAGATAAGGGCTTAAACCCAAAGTGATGCACTGGGTCCTCACGGCAATATTACTCCACCTCTTTTGTATGGCCGAGCAAAGTCAACACATTTAACCCAATTTCTTTAACCCCAGAATACTGAGATTCTTCACAAATGACGAATCCATATTGTACTCCAGCCACATTTGAAAAATCTTCCTGTTAGGAGGATATTATCTCCCCTCATAGCTCATTAACTGCCTATTATTATACGGAATTTCTTCCCGTCAAATATCTGATAATAATAATGGACTATAAATTCGCCGTTAAAATTTAACCTCTGGTAATTGAGAATCTAATATCTCCTCCTTCCGCCAGCGCGTAGCGTTGTGAGGCGTGATTGGAATTCCATTCCAAAGTACGGATGAGGTGATAACCCGAATGAAAACTTTTTTCAGTGGTTTGGGGGAGGTGCACAGTTGGGTTAGTCGGGTGTTCCATTTTTCAACTTCCGTCTATTCAGAATTAATTTGAAAGGGTACACTTCAAAAGTGCTGGCATTTGCTTTACATTTCCTAAATGGTAGCGATTGTAAAACATGGTGTCAAGTAGGTTGATTCTGATTTTCTCACGAAACGCTGTCATTAGTTAATAAACGTTCGGCACAAGTCCATGTCAACTAGCTACAAACACGTTTAACAGAAAAATTAAGTGGATCAACCACACTAGTCAACCATGCAGTCAGCCCCAGCCCCAGCCGCGATACTGTAATTCGTGAGAACCGGCGTGGCAGTCAGAGCCAATCAGACGCAGACAGCGCTCAGCGTATGAGGGTTACGTCCTTAAAAAAATATTTACATTGCAAAACATGTCAAATCAGGTACATATTACAAAGGATTCCTTTTGTACGGTTTACCAATAGCCCATATGCCATTCGAAGTCCTTTGTTACTAAACTTTTCTAGAAAGTGTCTCGGTTCGCCGATGGAAACGACTTTCGAAATCAAGAATTCTAAACTTTTCAAGTTGGAAACGTACTTGAATTAAAAAGAGAAAGCCTCGAAGTCACTGTATTTTTAGATCAGTTAGGTATAATTTGGAAAATGCCTTTACCTCTGGAAGGAAATCAATGGCAGCTCTCCACGGAATTGGCCAATAAATCCCGTTTAGTTACCAAAACAAGATGGGAAGTTCAATAGTTAATCAAATGTGGCTCACCTTTATGAAGTAGAAAATGTTCTTATTGATAGGTACCATGATAAATGAGTCACATGGTATTTCGCGATGTACAATGCCTTATAACGTCTAAAAAACATAATATGCCATTTTTGCGATACAATACTTCTTCGCTATTAGGCGTGAAGAAATGAAAATGGCGTCAAGTAAGCTGACTATATACTTTCCACACAACACTGTCATCAGTTCATAGATGATTGTTTTCGTCATAACTTAGTCCCTCTTAACATTTGAATAGGTCTAGTCCGTTAATAGTATCCAATTAGTTTCAGGCCCTGAAATACTTCCTCGCCAGTTGCCGTGACAGAAGCACAATAGGCAATTATGGAAGCGCGGAGCCGTAGTGGTATACACTGATAATAATAACATTTATTCAAAATGTTTACAAACAACATTCGAATAGATGCGAACGATCCCATAGAAAGGAATACAAGTTCCTTGTGCCATGGCATTCCAGGCTCAATACTGCTAGCGGTGTTCGCCTGTATTACTATGTGATGCGAAATGGATGCATCATTCACAGCACTGATGAGCCAACACACCACCTCTTTAACTATACTAAGTGACATATAAATCCGAACACCCAGTTTAAATGGTTTTATTTTAATAAAATTTTGTATAAGTACTTAATGAAGCATAATAAGTAAATGATAAAAATTTCAAAATGATTGCACTGCTTTAAAGCCCTTTGACCTTTAATAATGTGTGGATGCACCCTGATAAGCTACGCATTTTCCAACGCGCCTAGGCATGCTTCTGATCAGGTGGTCAATGTCCTCCTGTGGTATTTCATTCCAGGCTACCACCAACTCCTCTCGAAGTGCTTCTAGAGTCTGAGGAGGACGTTGCAAATTGAGCAATCTCCTACCCATCATATCCCACACGTGCTCAATTGGGGATAAGTCGGGAGATCTTGGTGGCCATGGTAACAATGTGACATCATTATGTTGAAATAAGTCTATTGTGATTCTTGCAACATGTGGTCGGGCATTATCTTGTTGGGAAGTTGGATCTGCCAGGGTGTCAAGATAGGGTAAAAGATGGGGTTCTAGAACTTCGTGGATATAACGCTGTGCGTTCATGTTACCTCTGATGAAGATTATAGGTGACCTGGAACCATAAGCTATAGCACCCCAAACCATAACTCCAACAGTGTGATGAACATGTCTTTCAACAAAAAACTGTGGATTCCTCCTTTCACCACGTCGCCTTCTAACCCTGACACGACCATCGTGCATGCCTAAACAAAATCGAGACTCGTCACTAAAGACAATACTGTTCCATTCCTGATCCCAGAGTGACCGCTGTCTGCACCACCCAAGGCGATTACGTCGGTGTTCTCGAGTTAAAGGGAGGACCCAGTGTGGCCGGTATGAAAACAAGCCAAAAATTCTCATTCGTCGGTAAACACTTCGCATGCCAATAGGTCTTCCGTGTTCTGCAAACCATTCATTTGCAATGGACCTGGTAGTGGAGAAACGGTCCCTTAAGGCCAATAATCTTAGGCGGCGATATTCACGGTCTGTTGTTCTACGGCGGCGTCCAGTGCCCCTTGCTCTTTGCGTACGGCCTTCTCGAAGCCATGCCTGACAACACCTAACCACAGTGTCTACACTTCTTTGCACTCTAACTGCAATTGCCCGAAAAGAAGGTCCAGCTTCCCGAAGTCCCACTATACGGCCCCTATCAAACTCACTAAGTTGACCAAATCGTACAGGTCTCCGTACTCTAGGTATCGTAACCGATCGTAAAGGATGTCAAGAACCAAAATCCGCCAACGTTGATTCTTTACTGCGGCTGAAATATTCATTTTTAGAGCGTTAGTGCGGTTTCCGTGTTTCTTTTAGAATTATGTACGACATCTCAAGCGATCACCTTCCCGTTATTCTTGAGGTGGGCACTGAGGATACCTTGGACAGGGAAGCCTGCACTAATAAACGCGTCGATTGGGAACTGTACAAATCGCACATGGCCGAGTTTCCTAATATCCCGATTATAGTTGACGAACATGATATAGATGCTGCTCAAGCAGAGTGGACAAGATCTGTCCAACAAACACTACAGCGGGCAGCAGCGTGGCAGACCTTTCCTCCCTGCGGACATACGTCAGAAAATTTCTGACAAAAGAGCTGCAATCAAGTAGGCAAAAAGGTCTTGTCATCCTGATGACATCCGTAGAGCTACGAATCTTGTTCACGAGGTAAGAAACGTA